TGGGGGTATGTCTCTACCAGCTGTGAACAGATGCTGAAAATAGTCCCTCTCCTTTATTGCAAACAGTTCAGTCAGATTGGATAGAGAAGAGAGAATTATCAGACATAATTTAATTAAAAAGGTTCTGCCCTCCCCCACTCAGCTCCTTCAGACTAGCCAGCAGCAATTAGCAAACACCTGGTGAAACTGCGCATCTGCTGAGCTCACTATAGGAGCTGCTTCTCAGTGTAAGCGCTGGTACAAAGTTGTTAAAGAGTTAACAGAGGAGCCATGTTGTGGTGACTTCCTGAAGGCGGAGTTTCAAAAAGAGCAGGAGTTATTAAAGAGACAGAGGCCCAATTTCAAGGCATTTAATTACATTAATTCCTTTTAGATCATATTTGATATGTACAGCATTTTTTTTAATATAACACAGTGACTTGATTGTGCTATAAAATGGCACTATGTACCTGGAAAACACATACTGCCCTTTTAAGTGTAGCAGTTTAAGCTACGCTACAGTGAATAAATCAACGGTGTTAAATGAGGTCAAAGGTATTTTCCCTCCATCAGCTCAATAAGTGGGACCAGGGCAGGCGTGCCTGAACATGTGCACCGACATTAAAGACGCCTAAACAATACACCATTGAAACTTTAAAACCGACTGACATTTCCAAGCTTCACGTCCTCCAGCAGGTATTTATTTATTTATTTTATTTTTTCCACGTCTCCATAATTTAGCCAGCGTGTTCTACAGAGTTTGTCCTCTGTGATTTAAAAGTGGCAAAGTGCACATGGAAACTCCAGTTCCTGCTAGAATGGCTCCCCTTTTCCTGTCTACGCCCCTGGGTTTCCTGCCTGCCGCATAAGTAAGTGTTGCTGGTTGGAGCATGTGACAACTGCGGGACATTTTGGCCTGTTTATTGGGGGAAAGGGTGTTGGTCTCTCTGGGTCGTTTTCCCGCCGAGTATTTCTTCTTCTTCCCCTTAAAGATGAACACAGGGCTCAGGTAAATGAAAGGCCTGCCTGCCAACTCGTTGAACCTTTTGGCACAAACGCAGTGTGTACTTACTATTTGTGTTTGCGCAGCCTAGTCATAGACGCATCCATTAGCGGTTATTAGCTGTAAATGCGAGTCAATGCTCTCTCTAATGAGCGTCGGAACAAAAAGGCCCTTTTGTCGGAGCACTTCCAAACTTCCTGTGAAGGTAAATATTAGCTCTTCTGACTGCGTCTTCAGCATGGATGGAGCCCTGTGTCTGTGTTGTGTCCTGCAAACCGCTCAGGGGGCTTTATGGTGGCTTTATAAACTGAACATAGGCTTGCCTGACTAAACCTCAGTAATACTGTAGCTCATTCAGGGATAAACTCCAACTTTCTCTCACTGCAATAAGAACAAAAAAACAACAACAAAAAAAAGATTGGGTCTTTGTAAACCTCTGAAGAAAAAGATGAGCCCAGGGAGAAGTAAATGGTATTCAGTTCTCCAGAAGTGGCGTTTGTTTGGAAAAAAAAAAGGCTTTGAACTGACTCGCCTCGACTCAAAGCATGAAACTCTGAGGGTGACGCGAACAAAATGCGACATTGTGAAGGAGTGTTTGAATCAAATGAATTACTACATCAGGTCGCTGTTTGACCCCTTTAGATGTACTCTACATCATGTTTCAGGTGATAAAACATGTAATGCTTGTTGTGTCAACCTGCCGGGCCACTCGGGTCTTCTGGTTCTGGTTCTGCTCTGCATCAAAACCAAACATGGGGAAGCAGCATTCGGCTTCTATGCAGCACAAATGTAGAACAAACTTCCAGAAAACAAATCGATGCTAAACCCCACCTGTTTATAGTTCCCTTTGATTCATAATAACTGGAACGTTGATTAATATTATGCAGATGATTTTGCTTGTTTCACGATTAGTTACTGCGTTACGTTTTTATGGTGCGAAGCGCTTTGAGCTGCCTTGTTGCTGAAATGTGATATACAAATACACTTAATGTCAGGAAAAAATACACCCCGAGTCAATTTAAAAAGCAGTTTTCAAAATGTTTTCTTTAGGCAGCCTCCGAACAACCCGACCAAGAACAGGACCAACAAGCATAGATGGATGTAATTGTGATACCAGTACAAAAAGTCCCAACCTTTATTATCACTATTAGGCATGGACGTTAAAGGCAGCTGGTCAAATCCAGAGCGCGTGTACTTGAAATATAGTATCCTACCCAATATCACATCCAAGCAGTCATGATATATCGTATCGCTTTAATAAGGTGTAATGAAAGGCATTTTGAGGCTTTTATTTTTCTACTTTGATTCCTCTTTCATTTAACTAGCTTGCCGTCATGTTCAAAAGCTTATTAAGGTTCGGGTGATGGGGAATGCTGGCGTAACATCAGGTTCTCATCGATGGAAATAAAAGAAAACATTAAAGTCCCTTTAATTAGATAATTATAATATTTTCTGAGACCGTGCAAGGATTAAGCAGGCATAGAAAACAAAGGAACTAATGGATCCCCTCCTTGTAAAAAGCAGTAAACAAACACATACCACACGTTGGAATGAAGTGATTAAATAAGTTTATTTGATTTACAGACACTTTTTTCCCTTTTTTTTTTTTTTACAATGTTTTTCTTTTAAATCAAGTCCCCAAACACGCCCCTCCTGAAGGGGGGAGAATGGGGGATCACAGTTCACTTTCTAAAGTTAAATCCTCTGATTTCTCCGACATGTAGCTCTACTGACTAAAAACAAAAATAAAATCTGTTTTCTGCTCAAGATCAGAAATAAGTCGCTTTGTACAGAATTCTTGTATAACAAGAAACAGCACACACTTAATACATCACCTCAGTGATTGTTAACGTAGCACAAGTCAATGCAACAGGCTATTAAAAAGAAGAAAAAAAAATCAACTGGGTTTTTTGGCAAAGTGAAACTCGGTTCGTGAGCCATCCTCTTGTCTGTAGTATGACGGCGCAAAAAAAAAAAAAAAAAAAGTAAAAAACTAAAATAAATCAGCACTCACTGGGGATTTGGTGAGGGGATGGGAGGCATGAAGCGACACAGTTCTGCAACAGAGGTTGTGAAGACGATGCCAGGATGTTTTTGCAAATTATTCCCTGAACATTAAAGTGTGCAAAATGGTTCGATCGGTTATTCTAACAGAAAAAAACAAACACTAACAAATAGCATGGCATCCTTCCACTGAGGCTGCTTTAAAAACCATCACATTGCATTTTGTTCTGTTTATCTATATATATATGAGATGTCTGAATAATGATCACAGTTAACAGGATGATTTCTTAGTGACGTGTAAAGGTACTGTGTTGATTAATAGTGATACATACAAGGTGAACTACTTGGCGTTTAAAAACCAAATGACACAGGAAAAAAATAAAAATAAAGTGTTGTATATTCAAACCATAAAACTTCCCTTTATAGAATATTCTTCATTGTGGTAACAAAACAAATAAATACATTGCATTCAAGCCATCATTTATACAATATATTAAAGTTACTGCATGATATAGCTCTCTCTTCCTCTCTCTCTCTCTATCTCTCTATATATATATATATATATATATTTATCTGTTGTAGTTGTTAAAAAACATTTGGTAACATCAAAAAAAGACAAGAAAATGTAAAAACGTAAGGTAAGAAGCTTAGTTCATTAAAAAGTTGATGTGTAAACACGGCCGGCCGGACACAATCACATTCAGAGAGCTCCATGCAGCTGGAGGGAAGCTAAAGCTAATGATCCGGCCCGCATGGAGAGTCGCTCGTCGCCACGGGAACCCCAGGCCCGTCCTTTTCCCGTGTTCTCTTAGAGGTCGGGAAAGTGCTTTCTTTCCCTTTTAGTAAAGATGCGCTCAGAACAGAACGTGTCCTAGGAGCACTGGGTCTAAAAATAATAAAAATATATTTTCCTCCCAGATGAAATTCAGGTAAAGTTAAGCAACAGGAAGCGTTTAAGTCAGAAATGCCTGATGCTAAAGGTTTTCCTGTTCCTGTCTCGGATTCTTTTTGATTTCAATGACAAATTAGCTGATGACTGTCTCTCCAGCTCTGTGTTTTTCCTACTAATATGGGTTTGGAGGGGATTAGGTATCTACAGCTGCATGGGGGGGAGAGGTCTCTCTTCACAGTGCCTGTCATTGTATCACAACCCAGGACCGGACCGCAACCCTTCATTAAAAGCGACTCTGTCCATGTGTGGCCGTTTTTTTTTTTGTGTGTGTGTCCAGAAACTCAAAACCAACCATCAGAAAGCCAGCCGTCTAAAGGGAAAGCAACTCGCTGATAAGGCAGTAAAGGATAACAAAACGGTTGGTTTTCTCCTAAGAAAAAAAATCTTTTTTTTCCCCTATTGCTCCTCATATTATATATATATCTTCTTTTTTTTTCCAAGTCCAACGAGTAGCATTCCATTCCATTTCTTTTTTGGGAAAAGCATATGTAAGCATGTATATAATAAATAACAAAAAACAAAACAAGAATCCAGTGTTCGCTTCAGATCACGCAAACAGCATCGTGATCCTTCTGAAACAATCATTGGCAGCAACCTCCAGTATTAAACTTCAACATTACACACACGCACACACACACACACACACACACACACACGAAAAGAAAGTAATAATGTGCAGAAAGTTCTCACATCTGTCACATTCTCTGGTGCTGTCTACACTCGTTTTAAGTGCTAAAAGCTCAAAGGAAAACATGCATGAGAGGTCAAAGGAAACGTGTGCAGGTGGGGGGAAAAGCTCCTGTTCTTAAGGCCGATTTACTGACCTTCAAACAGTAACACCTTTTTTTTTCTTTTTGGCTCTTGGCTGACTGCTTTGTTTACATGCACAGCTTAATCAGTTAGCAGAACACTGCGACTGTGACGTAAACTGTGATGTTAACACTGCGATCGAAGGGGACAGGACAACATGATCGGAATAATTGGAGGAAAATCTGGGCTTTGTGTGGGGGAAAGGTGTTGTGTGCATGTAAACGCAGTCAGAGAGGAGGTTGTGAGGGAGTGTCGGTGGTCAGTGCAAAGTTTATAGGAATGTAAATGAGGCTATGGCACTTGGTGCAGACTAACAGCCGATGGTTCGATGCAGACGGACAAATAAGAGACGCGCTGTTGGCCGGGCAGGCAGGCAGGCAGGTAGACGGGGCAGGTTCACGGTCAGCATTCAGTAGTATGGCATCAAAAAGTCATTAGAGTTGCGTCGTCGTGGATCCTCGCAGAGTTGGGACGAAAAAGCTACTCCCCCACCTGGGGAGGTTCGAGGCGGAGCAAGACGCTCCCCCCGTTTTCCAGTTCCGAGTCGAAAACCAAACGAGAGCAGCAGGGAGCCCGCGAGGAGCAGGAGGATTCTAACGGTGATGACAAAATAAAAAAAAATATATAGAAAAGGACGGCGGGCACTCTTTATTTTGGCGTCCTCTAAACATCTGTGCAGATAGGTCCTCGTCTGCTGATCACCTGGGGGAGGAGAGAGACAGGAGAAGGGTGTGAGCTCTTCGAGTCGGGCCTCACCGCAGGACACTCTTGTGTAATTAATGCCGAGGTCAACAGTTCTTGGGCCATCTGGTCAGACCTTCCTGAAAGTGCCTGCACACTGTGACCAGACTGTGGCCTAAATATACTCCTGCACTCAGCATACCAACTCAAAAACCTAAACAGCACAAGCATTAAACAACAGCAACTGGGGATGGAGGTTATCGATTAACGAGCTAATCGACTCGTTAAAATGAGTCCCAGTCCAGCCCTGTGTGCAACACACATACTCCTCGACTCTCGTACCGGTTAATTAGCCTCGACTGAGGAATTACTGGATATACAAAAGTAAACAATATGTTTTGGTCGAGTGTGAACGGAGCCAATCTGGTTTGGGATGGAAGATTTTCCGTCGTTAATAGCCTCAGCGACGGTCATATTGTTTGGGAGCGAGGTTCTAAAACTGCCAGAGTGATGTTGAGACAATTAGAGCCATGAACGCCGCTTTGATTTGTGTGAAAAGCGGCCGTCCCGATAACAGCTCTGCCGTGAATACGATGGGGAAATGTTGGCTATGTGAGCTAATGGGAGTAGGGGGGGAGGCTGATTGGCCTGGCAGACCTACAAAGTCTAATCAAAGCAAAATGTTGCTTTTATGGCCGAGAGGATCCAAATCGTGGCTGGACGAACGGAGGGAGAGAATGAAAGGCATGCTCATCACACTGAGAAAGCAAAATGATCTTAAATTCAAGATTCCTTTTTGCCTCCAGCTTTGCACTTTGTGTGTGTGTGTGTCTGTCTGAGTAGGCGTGTGTGTGTGTGTCTGTCTGAGTAGGCGTGTGTGTGGTCTGTGGCAGTGCTGACAGAGGACTTGGAGCTTTTGTTAAATGATAAGAGTGCAGGAAAGTATGCGCCTGCAGCTGTACAAACACTTCCAACGGTAAAAGTTTTGCCCTGTGATGTGATTTTTTTCTTCTTCTTCCCCCCCTCATGGGGCTAATATGGGATCGCGGTTACTGAATACACGAGCGTGAAGCTCCGCTGTCAGATCTCCTGCCGATGTTTTGACAGCGCCAAGCTCGGGGATGCCCTCGCGTTAATCCTGACGTCCTGGAGGACGGCGGGATGAGGGGGAGGGCGGATGCGGTCAGAAGAGGCAGCAGAGGGAGTTAATTGGATCTCAGTGTATCCGATCTGCGCCCGGGGTTTGCGTTGTCGGTGGTTAATAGCCTGCGATGTATAACGGCTTAAGCGATTACTGTTTCTCTTCATCCTCATTTATTTAGACGAGATGTCTTCCCCCCCCTCCTCTGCGAATCTGCTCTGATTCCCTTCGACTTCTTGTCAGAGATAAATGCTGGAGTTGTTGGATCTTCTCCTTGAACTTTCAAAGCACGTTGCACTCTAAACAGCCGTCAGTGAAGAATGGTTGTACAGATTTTTATTTATTTATTTATTTATTTTTTGCATTTGGAGACAAAATTTGCTGAAAATCAGTTGCTGCAGAATGTCTTTGTGATTCTTCCATGGGACAGAAAAGAGCAGTTCAGCTCTGACCTGGGATAGCAATGCAACAATCAGGGATTTCTATAATTAGCAACTTTTTACAGTGGGAAACACAAGCTCTGGCTGTGTGTGTGTGTGTGTGTGTGTGTGTGTGTGTGTGTGTGTGTGACAAGAAACCCATAGAGCCGACCTCTGGAACATATGTGTGCCAGCCTTTCATGTCACCGGTCATTAGCTTTCGCCTGCTAAAATCCATCTGTCAACACTAATGACGCCCATTGAAGTAAAGGACAAATGTATAGATTTTTACCATTTCTGTTTTATGAAAGCCTAAATTTTTAAAAATTTACTAGGAAGTGGCGCCCCCCAAAGGAGAGGAGCCAGCACTGTAACATGCTGGCTACGGCACTGCCCAGACAACCCTGGCCAAAGGCATACAGAATCATCTTCTTCAAGTAAGACGTAAATATAAAGCCCAATAAATAAATACACACATATACTCTAAAAATGCATTCTAAAAAAAGAAAGAATTAATTAAAACTCTATGCTTGTGATGGCACACTTTTCAATGGTAGCGTCAATATGCTAGCGATAGCTTGCACTCTAATGGTAGCATTTAAAGTAACAGTAGCATATTAGCTTAAATGCTAAAATGCTACTGTTAGCACTTAAGCTAACAGTAGATATCTAAATATCTTAATGGTTTAGATACCATTAAATGCTATCTAATGGTAGCATTTGAGCTAACAGTAGCACGTTAGCAATTTTTTTATATAAAAGCAAAGCTTTACGGACTAAATGGAGTACATCAATGATAGAACTGCTTCTTTTTCTTCCACATTATGATTATGCATAACAAAGTTTGTTTTCATGTGACAAAATCTGAAAAAGTTCAAAGTGTGTGAATACTTTAGCAAACGCCCATCAGTTTCTCAAGCCTACTGCAAGATGTTTGGAATGATTTTCTGCAAACTGAATCCCAAATCACCTACAGAGCTGTGAAAAATCACTCCTACTGATTTTGCAAAATTGGCAACATTTACTTTTTGTCTATAAAGATGCAAACACCAAATGTGTTTATCGCTTCGATTGCTGATACATCTTGTATAACATTTTGCTTCATTATGAAATGATTGTATGCGTTTTGTACAATGCTTAAATTGTGGTGTTAATTTTGAAATGGTGTTTTATTTAAAAATATAAAAACATAAAGAAACCAAAGCAAAAGAAAAACATCTAACTGTTATCTGGAAGTGGGAGGCATATTTCACAACTGAAATCATTCTTTAAGTCAGCAAGATCCTGGGGTCGTAATCTACGTGAACTCGCACCTCCTCAAAGTTTTTCCATTTGGTTGGCTCTTCCTCTCGAATTTTACAGGAAGATGCAATGTTGGCAAATGATCACTCTGCTTTCCTCATCCGAACTCTGCCCATCCTGCCAGTTTTCCAGTAAGCTCCCCAGTTTTTTTTTTTTTTTTTTTTTTCAGTTGGCTTCATTTCGTCATGTAGAAAATAAGGACATGCTGTCAGAGGGTTTAAAGTGGTTCCTTCTTTACTTTTTTATTCACATATTAGTCATTTGTCTTTGCAAACGACATTTGCCTAACCTCTTTATCTAAACAGAGCGCTACTAAAAGTTAATGGGCACAAACCCTGAAGTGCACACATGACCTACCTGTTTCTTTGAGCTTGTGTGTTTTTACAGTATTTCAACAAAATAAAAAACTTTGACAGGTTGGTAAAGAAATCAGCAACGCCTTGACATTTGCTCTAACCGTGATAACCTTAACAAATAAGTCACAACAGATTCCTTGTCCGCCTTATCGGGGAGTCAAAGTTTATCCTTGTTATTATTCAGTGTCTGCTACTGTAGCTCCACCATTGTATACAGATGTAGCTGGTGCGCTGCCAATTATTGTGTTTTCGTCTGGGTTAATAAGTCCAGAGCTTGTGTGTGTGGGCCTGATAATGGCAGGAAGTAGGAAAAGCAGCTCAGGTCGTGATAAGACGCTGGTCAGCTCTCTGAACCTTCCTGAGTACAACGCGATGGGAAAACGGTTCACGGCGCAATCGTTCTCGCCTCGTCGAGTTTAACACGAGACGTTCCGCTTCAGGTGAGAGTCTGCTCAGATAATGAGTGGGGAGCTCTCTACATGCTAATGCTCCAGGGTTGTCTTTGTGTTATCAGCCACTCAAACTGCCCGACAAAGTGCTGATGTGAAAAGCACTAAAGTTCTTAAGTGGCTTTTGGAACAGAAGGTGAATTACCTGGTCATACCTGGACTGAAGAAGGTGGAGTCTGCTGCATCAGCTTCTTCAGCCTGAAAAGAGAAAATATGTTTAAGCAATGATTCAAGTACAAACATTTCATCATTTCCTTTGCATCTCCATGGTTCATTTCCCCCAAATTTTAATCGTCTCGTACAGAGAAAGTCCTTCTCTGTGTGTTTAATCACACTTCAGCCGTGATGCACACGCCGATTCTGGATGAGGCAGTTCTGCTCCGGCACATCACCAGGCAGAACTGTGAACGGCGTGAACGCGCGGGTACGCACTGCACTGTGCTGCGCTATTAATGGAAACCCAGCCGCTAAAAAAAGCTAAGAAGCTAGGAATAATAAAGCACTCTTGAAGGCTGGAAATAGGCACACGCGCTCCAGTGAGTTACTCGTTCGGCTCCGTGCCTTTTTTTTTTTTATTAATAGCAGAGAGTTTCTGAGGACACACTCAGAGGAGAGGGGGAGGGAAAAAAATGAGTAGCACTCTGCAAAGTCGGGGGGAATTTATAAATTGAAGGGTTTATGGCATGAATGGAATATATAAACACCACCACCAGTAACATGGAACAACCATCGGTGTCATTTTGCTCGCTCCCTGCGGGGCTGTTTGCAACTTATGAGAAATAAAACTGCTTCTCTGCTGCTGTTCTTTTTTTCTTCGTTGGGATTTTCATATTCTTTATGAGGCATAGAAGATATGGAGTCAAAAAACTCAACAGTGATGTGGGTGGAAATTAAAGGAGAGACACCTACGAGTACTATATGATAACTGATTTAAATCTGAAGTTTAACAGCTATGAGTGTCGTGTCTGTTAAGAAGCTGACTGCAGACTGCTGGAGCAGATAGCCTGACTAAGGTGACCTATTAGCTTGTCCAGCTACTGTAAGTGTAATGTGTATCAAAATCACACATAAATGTCAAAGAAAGTGTCATTATAACTAAAACATAATCAATGTTATATTATTATTACCATCAGTATGAATGTTGCGTTGGGCTGCTACTGCTGTCTAAAGTAATGCACCGTTCTGACCAAAAACAACCAATCAGAACCAGGAGGAGGGTTTTAGTGCTGTCAATCATCCTCATCCACTCACTGCTAGAGGGGCTAAGGGAAGATTTTATAAAGATTGTTTGAATTTATGTGAGTAATAAATATTTTTTGTTGTGTAATTGTAAAAAGAGTGGAGAGACAGGAAAAATCTACGTAGATTGAACACAATGTTGCTCACCTTTTTCTCTGGGACAGGGGGAAGGGGATATGCTGCTATCAGGGCTAAGGCTGCTGCTGTCTGACTCATCTGTTGCTAAGTGTGGTAAAAGGTACAGGTACAAGTTAAATATATGAATATCTTGGTAATTCTTTTCCTTGATTCATTAAATGCTAGTGAAAAAGTGGCAGACAGTCTATAGCTAAGCTAACTATGCTAAATGGTTGACAATCTCACACACTCTACACACCTCTCTTGGAGAAAAACTGTGTCAAATTCACTCTCGTTTTTTTCTCTGTTTCTATTGAAATCCTGACTTTATAATTTTTCTAGGCGGCACAGTAACTAACACAGTGGTTCTGGTCTGCTACCGACTGCTGCTGAACAGCGTCACCGTCAAGTGCGATAAGCAGGAACGAACCATTTCATGCAGATCCAGAGGGGGGTTCAGTGCAAATATGGATCTGTGCTTTTTGGTCTGGGAGTGGCAACAAGGGGCGCCACCAGGAACCTTGGGCCCCATGACGAAACATTTAATTAGGAACCCCCTTCTCAGCTGCTGTTACAATTTCTTGAGTCCATCTGACCCATCAAAGGTAATTGTTTTTGTTGTGTAATTGTAAAAAGAGTAGAGAGACAGGAAAAATCCACGTAGATTGAACACAATGT